ACTCAAAAAGTCAGAAAGTACGCCAAGAGGTATCCGAGGAGTGTTGTTCTGATGTGGATCGCAAATGCACCAAAAACTGCTCGCAATAAGAATCCCAGCGAGGCCGAGTAAGCGCTTTTTCTGCAGTGTAGGCTTTTTGCTGTGCTGAATAATAGCACCAGCAGGCATTTCGAGTTTTAAAATGATGATGCCTATGCGGTGAATGTCTTGTTTCATTAAGCTATATGCGGTCAAATCATTATCACGACTGCACATCGTTCATAACGCTTTATGGCCTAAAAAGTTATGATGAAAATAGTGCCAAGTTTTTTGGCTTATTGTAGAATTTTAACAAAAAAAGGCTTGTGGTTTGCTGTAATTTCAATAGAATTGGTTTGAGAAACAAACAAAATTATAGCAAAAATGGTCTAAGAGACACAGTGATACTGACGGTTTCTTGCAGGCTTCAGTCGTTGTACATCCATTTTTTGTACAACGTCCCCAACTCGGGCGAATTGCTGGAAGTCAATCTTATGCGTCCACTCGATGAAGTATTCGCGCAAACATGTGACAAAATAAAAGAAAAACTGCAAAAATCATTCTTGAAGCAGACGAAACAAATGCTTTGTGATGAAGTGTTGGACTATGAATTTGTCGTCTCAGCACCGTGCCTTCCAAATTTGGTACTTATTTGTAATCTGTCATTCTCCTGTATTTATCGGATCAGCTGCTTACTCACAGTAATTATGCGTTTTTTTTTTTTTTGGCGTCTTTGCAATGCAGAAGCAGTGCAGAAAACGCATATTGATGAGGGGTTGTCTGTGTGTCCGTATGGCTGTGTGTGTGCGACTGTACCGATTTTTCATCTCAAGACCTATGAAAGCTACAGGGATCAAACTTTGGGAATTTAATCTGCATGCACGTACGATCCCCAGTCCCTAAAATGAGCACTCTTACCGGCGTGGTACCCACGTGCGGGCTCGTGAAAGTTTTTTGTGGGTAAGCCACCAAGTCGGGAACCAGAAAAGCTAGAAAGCTGAAAC